TGGCAACAGTTCCTTCAACGAAGGTGTAGGTTCCAGCGCCGCAGTGGAACCCTTGTCAATTCTGTGGAAACAACTTCTGCTGAAACACGGTCACGTTCAATGTTTTAAGAGTTTTTACATGCATGAACATGTTACATAAGTTTCTCTGTTGTTGGAAACACATCTATTTTCCAGTTTCTCTTTAGCGGGTGGGTGCAGGCAGGTCCAATGCTCTTCATTTTTTTGCTGCTTAATTTTTGAATGTTTCTTTGTTTTGCAGATGCACCGTGTTCTTCGTCGTGCATAGCGTTTGTTTTCAATGCTAGACGCACGGGCACGCTCCTGAGAGAAATCGTATCCTATCGTTTTCATTTTTGGTCGAAACACGAAGCAAAAATCTCATAGTCTATCATCGCAGTTTCATAATCTTTACCTTCCAGGGCCCTCAAGGGACATGGTCTCCGTTGGGAAACATTTGCACTGAATGTTACGGAGACCAACACCGCCCAACACCGCACAACGCACGACACCCAGCACATGACTTCGAAGGCGAAACGGACAACGTCTGGCGGCTCACGGCGGCTGTACGGATTGCCTCAAACAAGTACAATTCTCTTTTTAACTGCGAAAGTTCCAAGATGTCTCAGCACTCTGTTGCTGCTTTGTTCGATCATGTTGAAATCAAAGTTATTTGGAGTTGAATTGCGTGGTTCAGACTTTCAACGCTATTGATTGTTATATATTATAGGATATTATATCTACATATATAGAAGGACGAAATGAACAGCCTGAAGATCATGAAAATGGATCAGTAATCCCAGGTGTCTCCTCACAAAAGTCATCTAAAGACCAATTCTGAATTGGCAAAGATGGGGTTTACTTGTCGTGAAACCTCTTGTACAGAGCTTGCATTGAGTTTCTGGAAGTCATAGCAGTTGTAGTCACAGATGAAGCTGTCAGAGTGGTTGAAGCGAACAAAACAAGTTCTCCATTTTCAGTGTTATGAATCGCACCTGTTATGAAATATCGATGACAAGAAGAACAAGAGAAAGTAAGATACTCAACGTAGTTCTTGTCAGCATGCACATGCACTTTCAAAAGTCTTTTGTATTGCTCACTTGGTCATTTTGTGGTTATGCAAAGACAGCAAGATGGCCTGGACGGAAACCGACATTTTGCGCTTCCGTTGGGGTGTCAAAACGTACATCCACAATGGGGGATAGCAAGTAGCAAGGTGTGTTTTTTTTGACACCGGGAGCCCTCGTGAGAAAGCTGAGGCTCACTGAAACTCTCCCATTCCGAATCCATGTCCGCTGGATTTGGTTGCAAAGTTGTGACCAGGACTCCAGACATGGCCACTTTCGGAGGCGGGATGGACAAGTGTGTAGCCCTGCTTGGTGGGCTAGAACCAGTGCTTGCATGAAAGGGGAATGGTAAGGGGCCCAACGTCCACGGTGAAACTTGAAACCACGCATTTTGCTTTGGTTCTTTTTGTAGGTGTGTTGTCCTTTGCAAAGATGGGGTTGACGGTTTACGTATGAAACATAGTCCTCATTTCTCTTGTGCAGAGCAAGTCCAACCAATCATTTCCCGAAATTAGTCGGTACTGATGACAGGGTGTTTTCACAATGTCTGCAGATACATTGACCGAATCGGGAATGTGGTGATGCCAATGAGTCTTTGATTGTGTCTCTTATTTTGTTTTCCGAGATACATTCTTGCTGGGTATTTGAATCTGCTTTTCAATTGGGCAGCAATTGTGTCTTCCCCTCTTTGTACACATGCTTCAACATCGCCAAAGGCGGCGATGGGAAATTTGCAGGAATTGACTTTGTTGCCATGTCGCTGTTGGACCTGGTGCTGTGCATTTTGTGTATGCATACCTTCCAAGCAGAGTACACATCAGGCCATCCAAATTGGATGTACCCGAGGTCGCCAGATCCGTGCAGTCAGCCTGAACCCAAGCCTTCGGAAAGCTGTTGGGACACAAACTTCACATGGTGCAGACCAATGCTAAGCCGCTAAGCTCGAAGCGTCAAAAATGGCGCTTGCATGCAACCACGTTACGGAATGGTTTCTTACCCAGGCTGCCATGGAGCTCACATGGGATTTGTTTTCGGAGTAACAAAAAACATATAAAACAAGATTATATTATATATATACATATGATTCTAACACCTTTATTCCTTCGTGTTTCAGTGTATTTTAGAAGTGCCAGCATCTCGTAGCGCGTCTAGCTCTTTTTGAAGGAGACTTCAGTTTGGACAAAGCCAAGGACACAACTTATTGTGGTTGTGGCCACTGTTGAGTAGATTCGCGTTGTCCTTGCGGGTAGCAACACAGTTGCCAAGACAAATCTCTCCACAATGAAAGAGCACATAATTTACACTTGATTACATGTGCAAAGACACACACAGACTCTGTCAGAAAAGAAGTGAGTAACCTTGCAATTGACTGGCATCCAGGTTGACTTAGTCACATTTGTACATGTGTAAAAGCCTTAAGACATGCTGGAAACAATGTATGGGAGCAGCTGAGCAGCTCTTAAGGACAGAGAATGTGAGTCAAGACCAAGCAAGACATTGGAACTGAGTTTAACCCGCAATTTGCTTCCAACTGACTGCAATCTCGTTGTGCATGGAAAACACCGGGCAAGAAATGGGTGGAACAGCTTGTCCCACGCAGTATATGCTAGCTGGACATGGACTTGCTTTAGTTAGCAAGATTGAGGGTGTGAAAATTTTTGGGCTCCGTGTTTATTAAAACACTCCACCTATTTTTTATAACCCAACCCTGTCATTTTTAAAATCTGCCGCTTGTTTCTGCACCCCCGGAAAGCCTCCTTTTAAACCCTTCCCAAACCAGTGTTTTGAACCTTGTCTTTTAACCGAAGCCCTCCCGGGGGACTTTGGGGCAGGGGCAAAGCGCGTGATGGGTACGACCGGTCATCAGATTTTTTTTGGGTGAGGAACATGCAGTGGCAAAGCGGTCAGGAACATGCAGGGGCATGGCCGAGCGGCATGGCATTGACCTTGGCAGACTCCCCGTCACACCTGTCGTAGACAGCCAACACAACACCAGTCTCCACGCAGTTAGCCTCCGCCTTTGCGTCCCCGCATCGTGACACCGTAGCCTGTACTTGGCCGGCATTAGGTACTGGATCCGTGTCCATCCGATACACCCAAGCAGCTTGGTAAACGCAACCGGTGCAGGCAACCGGGTCACATTGGCTAACCACAAGCAAAAGGTGGTTCAGTAGGGCAAGTCCTTTGCGTGGACTCTGTGCTTTGTCCGCAATTCCGCATACTCCTCCAAGCTCAGCGGAGCAAACTTTGTGATAGTTGCGTGGCCATGTACTTTGTTTCCGTGGACCAACCAGCTGCCCTCGAAGTTCCAGTGTTTTTTGTCCACTAAATGGACAAAAAATGCGGGTGAACCACTGTTGCACCACCATGGCCCTCTCACCTTCTTGCGCCCTTGCCCTTTCTCTTGCGGGCCCGTCCACACCATGTCCTCCACTGCCACCCACCCACCACCACCTGCAGCATGGCAAGCACATGACCGCTCCTCTCTCAGCTCTCGCCCCCAACTCGCGACAGCCCACACAGCCCAAAGAATATGCATCCGACCCACGGCATCTCCACGAACCACGGCATCGGCCCAAAGCACCTGGCGCCAAAAGCACACCTGGCACCGGCGCCCATGAGGCCTTTGATAGCTGTCTCACCTTCACGGCTCTTCGAGCCACTCCGAGCAGGAAAGCCATCACGCACCACGCCACGGCTGCCCGAGTCAAAGGTGGAGGGTCAAAAAGAAAAGGGTCAAGAACTCAGGTGCAAGGGTTGGAAAGAAAGGGTAGAGGGTTAAAAAAGCAAGGTCGAGGGTGAAAATGAAAGGGTGGGGGGTTAACACAAAAGGGTGGAGGTTTAAAAACTGGTTTAAAAAGAGGTTGGGAGGGTAACAAAAGGGGTTCTCAAAATTTTGTCGCCGCTGATCAGCAGTCCATAAGCCCCTAATCTTACGCCCCTGAGCCCACCAGTCCCTCCATCTGGGAGGGATCTCGTTTCGCTGCTTCTTCTTCGAGAGATTTCACCACACGTTGCAACTAGGTTGAGTTCGGAGTGCATGGATCCAACTTGGTTTATATATATATATATACTTTTTTCATCACCTGTTGGCGCTCAGCCAATGAATATATTTGTCAATGTATCTGGACTCAGCCTCTGAACATGATGCTTTGACATTCTGTCCGATGTGAGATGGTCGGGTCATGGACAGGTCATGGTCGGGTTATGCCCCACATTTGTTCAGCACCTTAGGATCATGTTTCAGTGTTTCATCGCTTCTTGCCCCTGTTCCGAGTGGAGACAAGTATCCCTGTACTGTCGAAATGCCATGAGAGGGTGTGGAGCCGCCCTTACGCTTTGAGGCGTTCTGCTTCTTCTGGCCCTGCTTGCGGTGCGAAGGGAGTCTTTTGAGAATTGAAGCCAACTAGTCCTGGTAGCCTTTGTTAAAGATAAATGTTCCAACATTTTCCTTGCAGTGCAATCAGTTTGACCAAGCTCGCAGAGTTTGAAAGGCTCTTTTTGAGCAGAAGCGGAAGGGTTGTCTTTTTGAAGGTGCCCACTTGCTTCACTGGTTTGGCCCCAAGGAGGGGGGGAAGGGCTTTGCCGAAAAGAGGCTGTCAAGTCTGTCAACATGGCCACGTTGCCACATGGCTTGACGTCGCAAGTCGCAGGACAAACAACAAGACCACAGCCCAGGCTGAGGCGCTGAAAGGTAAAAGACGTGTGAGACAAGTATGAGAATGTGGCCACCTGTCACGCGTGTGCTTCTTCTCCCAAGGTATGGTTGGTGAAAGACAGTGTAGGTTGTTGCAAAGACATTTGGGGACTCTATTGAATCTATTGACTTTCTGTTCTTGAGTCTGAAATGAGAAGCAAAGGAGCATGAAGAAACCTCTTTGTTTCTTTGACTGTGCAGCCAAGAGACTGATATTTGTTCATTGAGAACCTGAAGAGGCTGCTTCTTCTTCAGGATCTTCATCAGTGGCCCTAGTGAAGGCATTTGGGTGAAGAGATCGTTTTGGAAGAGCGGAAAGCCGAGTTTGGACTCAAGATTCCAGGCCATTTGCGATTTGTGGCATTTTGCGTCAACACCCCGTCTGACCACCTTCGGCCACGCGGCCTGCGGACCCCCCTTCCTTTGGTTCGTTGCGCGCGGCAGCGCGCGGGCAGGTCACCAAGGAGAACAGCATCGCGACGGCTGGTGTCTTGGGCGGAGTTGCGGGTCTCTTGCTGGGCGGCTTTTGGGCCCGGAGCCACAGGAACCGGAAGTCATAGGCGAGTGACAGCCATTGGATCAATTGCATCTCAGATGGTTTTTTGTCGTCCTGGTTGCCTGCTAAGATTGGTGCTGCTGGCTTCGTGGCAACCTCCTACTTGGCAAAGAAGGACTGAATGGGAGCTCCTTATGCCAGGTTTTTGAAGTCAAGGTCACCATCTCCACTTGTGCCATGAAATCATGATAATTCTCCAAGGCCACCCAGACCCTCTGTACAAACTTTGGAGTTTGCTGGGTGGGCATCGAATGCTTTCCTCCTGACCACTCCAGATCTGATGATGGGCTCAATCGCTAGGAAGACGATGTCTCCACCGTCCTCAAAGGTGTCTCCACTGCTTCGCTTGAGGCCGTTTTTAAGGTTTCGGGGGCATGGTAATCAGAGGCCTGGGTGTGTTCCATTCAAGGACAGCATTGACCCTAGCAAGCTTTTATGCAGAAGAGCTCTCTATCCTTGTGCTTCGCAAGCCTGTATATATATATATATATACATATTTAAAGGCTTACGCCTAACAGCCGGGGCGGCCCACTTGGGTCTGTGTAGGGCTGGGTCCTGTCTCTCTCTCTCTCTCTCCCTCTCCTCTCTCTGTCTCTGTCTCCGTCTCGGTCTCTGTCGGTCTCTGTCTCTGTCTCTGTCTCTGTCTTCTCTGTCTCTGTCTTCTCTGTCTCTGTCTTCTCTGTCTCTGTCTTCTCTGTCTCTGTCTTCTCTGTCTCTGTCTCTGTCTCTGTCTCCGTCTCCGTCTCTCTCTCTCTCTCTTTTTGAGACTGTGTGGGGCCTATGTTGCCACATCTTGAGGCAATCTTGGCCCATCTAGGGGCTATGTTTCCCATATCTGGGACCTATGTAGGGTCATCTTGCGGCTATGTGTAAGTGTACCATATCTGGGACCTATGTTGGGTCATCTTGCGAGCCTCTGTCAGATCATCTTGGAGCACATTGTCCGCCTTTGCTGTGGGCGCGTGCCCTGCACCCACGAAATGTCGATTATGCCTGTCCGCCCGGCGCGCATTACCGACACCACCCTTGAAAAACACAGCATTTTTGCATTTCTCCCTCTTCGCCGCGTCGCAAGTTGATATGCGGAGACTGAGAGGAGAACAGAGGGCTCAAAGCACTCAACAAGGAAAAAGCAGTCGAGGTGTTGTTGGGATTGGCCACCCTCAGCATCATATTTATGTCTGAGCCAGAGGCTATCATGGCCAAATTGATTGACCCAGCAGGGGCACTCAAATTCAAAGAGCTCCAATTTGAGAGAGGCAGCTGGCTGTGCAGAGGGGGTATGGCAGGAATTTCTGGAAAATTGCCCTTGTGCTGTTGAAACCTGGAACAGGCTGAGTAAATCCATGTGGCTGGGAAGGTGCATCACCACTCCTTTGGGTAGCGCTTATTGACTTCCTGTTCTTCATGACATGGCTGTGGTGCCACCCCAAGGCTGTTGCTAGGCAGCAAAACCTGTACAGGTGCATATGCCTCCAAACACTACCGCACATGGTGAACAGCATGGGTGCCTGGCTGGACAGGTTTGCTGTGGACTTGAGCCTAAAGGAAATGACAGCCCTGCCAATACTTAAGGCAAGATCAGGCCTTGCCGAAGACCTAAATTTGGCCAAGAGCAGGCTGATGCATTGGGAGGCATACATTGACTGATGCTGCGCAGCCAATTTCTCAAGTCGACTTTTGGTGGCCAAAATCAACTCTGCATTTCCTGGGATCCCAGCTCCTATGCTGGCAAAGAAATCCTGGTGAGTGCCATCTATTGCCCTTCACTGGATAAGTCAAGTTGGTTGCTCAACCAGCAGCTGAGCCAAGTGATGGTCAGTGATATATTTGAAGAGCTCCTCCCACTGGCTAGGCAATCCAAGCTCACCTGAGAAACCTAAAGGAGCCTGACCAGCCAGTGTCAGAAAAAAGGAGCAAGATGGAGCCCACGAACCCGAATGCAAACACATATGTCAATCCACTGTGTATAGAAAGAGACACAGCCGGTTAGAGTCTCTTTTTCACGCTCCGGCACGCTGTTGGACATCATGCGCTGGGGACTCCACCACCAAGGCAGCATGAGCTGGGGACTTCACCACCAAGCTCCGTCTTCGTCATGAAGGGTCTTCGTTTTGCGTTCAAATCAAGCACTGGCGTAAAGGTTCTGGCAGATCCACAGCACGAAAGAAACAATGGCATTGTCCCAAAATCTCGACAATAAGCACTTGAAACTGATAACCGTACACATAATACAGAGAAATCCACAACTAAAAACACTCTTGTGGGACACTCTAGTAGGACACTCTTGTGGGACACTCATACGGGACACTCTTGTCGCACACTCTTGTAGGCTGCCATTGCGGTCACTCTTATGGGAAACTCTTGTCGGACACTCTGTGAGGCACTCTTGTAGGACACCCTTGTAGGACACTCTTGTAGGAAACTCTTGTAGGACACTGTTGTGGGACACTCTTGTGGGGCACTCTTGTGGGACACTTGTGGGACACCCTTGTGGGACACTCTTGTAGGACACTCTTGTGGGACACTCCTGTAGGACACTCTTGGGACACTCTTGTGGGACACTCTTGTGGGACACTCTTGTGGGACAC